GAGGTATGTAGTGTGTGTGTGTGATGGTGTGGTATGTAGTGCATGTGTGATGGTAAGGTATGTAGTGTGTGTGTGATGGTGAGGTATATAGTATGTGATGGTGTGGTATGTAGTGTGTGTGATGGTGAGGTATGTTGCGTGTGTGATGGTGAGGTATGTAGTGTGTGCGTGATGATGAGGTATGTAGTGCGTGTGATGGTGTGGTATGTAGTGCGTGTGATGGTGAGGTATGTAGAGTGTGTGTTATGGTGTGGTATGTAGTGTGTGTGATGGTGAGGTATGTAGTGTGTGTGTGATGGTGAGGTCGTAGTGTGTAATGTAGTATGTAGTGTGTCAGATGTACCCGTGAGCTTGTGCGTCTCTGATGCGTCGTGCGCTGCTGCTGAATACCTCACTCGTCACGGCCTGAAGACTCTGGAAACTCTGCAGCAGGAAGCAGCGCTGCGCATGTTGCTCGGCCAGCAGTGCTCTCTGATTGGCCAGAAGGACATCAAGCACCTCCTCCAGAGCACCCTGGGGCGGAGCCACAGCACACATTTATAACATTCCCAGAATATTAGAAATTATATGGTTTCTGACTTAACTTAGACACCGTTGAATTTATACGTATTTATTAAATGCAAATTCAAAATTCTCATAAAAACAGATGCATGGAAATCAAAGTAAGGTCTTTTGTTCAACTAAACTAAAGAGAGTGCAAACAGAAGAATGATTTAGCGTACTTCACGGTGCTGCTGCTTGGAAAACACTGCAGCACCAGCGCATTTCCAGTTCACCCTGCAGCCTGACCATGTGCTCATGCCACACATACAGCAAACAAGCTTTAACTTAGAAACACCAGAGCAGTCGGTACAGATGTCAGACTGATGGTCAGCCCACCTGATGGCTGTAGTACTGCAGCAGGAGTTTGTCGGCGGTGCTTTTCTCCAGCTCTCCGGTTCGGACGGCCTCCTCCAGCTCCTCACCGAAGATCTTGTGCAGCTCAAAGCGCCACCGCAGCGCCTGCTGCCTCTGTGCCTGCGCAGATGCGTGTTCATGCCTGACCAGGAGCCGCTTCTGCAGACACTTCAGCTCTTCCTTATGAAGCTTCTCCAGTAGAGAACGAACCTCCAGCACGTCCTGATAACATACGACACACATCACACATCATGTTCTTACTTAGAATTTCTGTCTTGATTTTCAGTACAAATATCAAAACATTCTTAAAGGGGTCATATGACAATGCTAAAAATAACATTATTTTGTGCATTTGGTGTAATGCAGTGTTTACGCAGTTTAAGGTTAAAAAAAACATTTTCCACATACCGTACATTATTGTTTCTCCTCTCTGCCCGGCCTTTCTGAAACGCGTTGATTTTTACAAAACTTATTGTTCTGAAAAGCGCTGTGTGCTCTGATTGGCCGGCTATCCAGTGCGTTGTGATTGGCCAAATCCCTCAAGCATGTGATGGAAATGTTACACCCCTTACCATATTTGGAAACACAGCATCTCCACGACAACAATACTACAGCGAGAATAAAAGTTACGCCTTCTTTCTTTGTGTAAATATTTTTGCGGTGTTATGCAAATCTTCCCACACAGTGACGTAGATATGTGGAGGCGTGTTTAAACGAGGCGTTTTAGGAAGGCGTGGACGAGTCTTAACTTTTATAAAGAATATCTCTTTGGGTTTGAGGCTTTAGTCTTTGCAGCTTTACCTATCTTATATGTGACCCTGGACCACAAAGCCAGTCATAAGGGTCAATTTTTTGAAATTGAGATTTATACATCATCTGAAAGCTGAACAAATAAGCTTTCCATTGATGTATGGTTTATTAGGACAATATTAGGCCAAGACACAACTATATTGAGAAAATCGCCTTTAAAGTTCTTAGCAACTTAGCATTTTTTAATATATTTACAGTAGGAAATTTACAAAATATTTTCATGGAACATGATCTTTACTTAATATCCTAATGATTTTTGGCATAAAAGAAAAATCAATAATTTTGACCCATA